TTGCATTGCCCTTCTCACAGAGATATTGAACATTTGTTCATTCACCTTTTGGCTATCCCTATGTCTTTCTAGAATTATCTGTTTAGCTCCTTTGTCTACTTTTTAATTGTGTTGTTTGATGTTTTGTGGGTAAGCTACTTGAGTCCCCTACCTATTCTGGTTTTCAGTCCCTTATCAGAAGCATAGCTTGCAAACATTCTCTGACTGACGTTTTAATCCCTTGCTTCTTTTCTCTATTTCACCTGCTCTGCCACATTGAGACAAAAGAAGTCAATAACCATAAAATTAACCTTTAGTAGAAATAGTATAACTGCAAATAGCTTAAATTCACTTTCAAATTTTATCCAAAGTAAAAATTCTCTTAATAATGCAAAAAGTTCATCTTGCAACTAGAAATATAAATACTGATTTGAGTATAACTTCCTAGGCGGTAAAAATGTGTATGGGCTGAATACGTCTACCTACTGATATTTAGTCCTTGCACGGTTTATGTAGATATAAAATGATAAGTGGTATTGTGTCAGGGTTTTCAAAATATGGCTGTCCATTTAAAGTGGTATGACTTGCCTTGGCTTAGAAGCAAATATTATATATAAATAATATAATATATTTACATAATTACATATATAATTATATATACACATATGTGAATATATGTGTGTATATATATATACATATGTTTTTTTCTCATATGATTAATTACATTGTTTTTGGTCCTATGTAATTTGTGCTAATGAATACCAAGTAAGGGCTAATTTACTCTCTTGAATAAAGGAATGGACATTTAAAGTATTCCATTAAATCAATGACCTTAAAAAGAGAATTTATGTTGATAACATAATAATGCCTTACCACTTAAGGGCAATGGCAAAGGAAATGCAATTTTCATGTGCACTGACTTGAAACTGAAAAGAAGGAAAATTTTACTTTCAATTTCTAAGAAAAGTGCAATATCTTTTCTGACTTGATATTGCAAAAAGGCTATTATAATTTGATTTTAGTTTCTAGTAATGTCACAACCTTAGGGGAAATTTTCCTTTTATTAAATACATTGTCGATACATTCTAACTTGTTTACATTATAAGAAGAGAAGTTCTGCTTATCCCTTGTTTGTTACTCAGCTGATGGACCACTTCATTTACTTTTTCAATGGGGAGAGAAATAATATCATTCAGGATAATTTACATTAGCACCATCCCATATTACACTTATAGGCAAGGGTGTCCTGGAATGTAGCGAAGATAGAAGTTTCAACACACTTACATTGGATTTCCACCAAAAATCTTCCCTGCCAATCATGCATTTGCTTGGAAGTTGTGTTACTGCCTAGACAAAGAAGGAGTGCATTGATCTTCAAAACATTCAGGTTCTAGTGTCAGGAATACCTCTTTGAACAACACAGTTTATGGCTTATCTTCTCTCTGTACCAAGAAAGGGAAGATTTCAATAGTATATAACAGTTTGAAACTCTAGATGATGAAATGTCATGCTTTTGCAGGAAATGGAATTTTTAGCATAAGATTCAGTAATAAAGATCAAATTCAATATAGCTACGAGTGGAAATACTGGGACCAGCAGTTGGCATAATGGCTATGTCACTGGACTACCATGTAGTTGACTGGGGTTCGAGTTCCAGACCCAGTGGCTTAAACTCACACTGGGCGCATGTGTGTGTGTGCCCAACATCCCTAGAGGAAAATGGAGGAGAAGGGATTGCGGCGTGACCATCCCCCCGGGGGGTGATTTCTCACTTTCTGTCTCTCTGTCTCTCTCTGTCTTTCTAGCTAGTGCACGTTTCCTATAGCAAAAACCTCTCAAAAATAACAACAACTATAATAAACAAGAAATAGTCCTTACTGGCTATACTCTTATCATTATATTGAGAAAACTGAACTCCAACATGGAAAATGCAATACAAGTATACTGAACAATGTCGTCAATAAGTGGAGCAAGACGGACAACTAAGTTATTATAATACTACAGTTCCTGAGGGAGAAAAATTCAGATAGCCAGATATAGATGAACATATATATCAAGAACATGATGTTCTCACTTGGCACACTTTTTGATAATGATTTTTGAACAGGCTTATACAGAAGCTCCTTCAGATTATCACTAGAGTCTCTGGGAAGGAGGTGGCATAATTTCAAAAATGACAACTTTCAATTTATATACAGAATTTCTATAAAGTCAAAACATTGGTAGTCAAGTGGGCCAAAAACTCATGTATTTACCTCAATAAAATATGCACCTCAAGACAAATGTTCTCAGTTGAGTAATGTATTGCATTTTTCACTGTTTTTAGAAGGAATGAATAATGACAGTGAAAAGGCTCAGGTTCATTAAAGAAAAACAAATTTAATGTACTGGAGTCCTTTATTTAGAAGGAGCCTGTGATGTGAATTGACAGTTGCTTTGTTTAGACAAGTGTCATGGTTTTATTTCATTGACCACATTATCTACAGTCAAATAGAGCAATCATTCTATCATTATCCAACATGGATATCCAACATCAACAGCAAAACAATGACTTCAAACTAAAAAACCAAACTATTCAAAATCAAATAATTACACTTCTTTCAATAATAGCAACATTTTACATAATTTGACCCATATGGGACTCAATTAAAAAAAAATAGCCTGTTGAAGTCAACTTCAATTCTAGGTTCTCATTAAATAAGAGATGAGTTGCAAATTAACTAACGAAAACTTAATGTGTTATTATGGGGATAATGATAATGTAAATAACAGCCTCTGAAGTGATTTAAAATAGATTCATGCCACTTCTTTAGAAAGATACCAATTAAAATTTAGATATTTCATTCCTCCAGTACAGATGATACTACATTCCTTTCATTGCTATGACTAGGTCTTGGTAAGTACCAAAAATAAATAGAAAATGTGAAGAAAAACCATTACTATATTCAATGCATAATGATCTTTGAAATTTTATTATTATGAATTGTTCTTTCATTGAATTGCTAAAATTTCCTTACCAAAAGGACTCATGTACTATAACATTTAAATTTTAGAGGCAAAGTATCAAATATATAAGTTAAAAAAACATATTGTCCTTGAGGGAACAGCAAATGGTGTATTTGTTATGTTGCTGGACTCCCAAGTGGCTAACAGTGGCTCAAATCCCAGAAGTGACTTGAAACCCACACTAGGCACATGTACATGTGCCCAAGATCCCAGGAGAACAGAGAAGGGATTGCTGCAGGACCACACCCCCAGGAGAGTGAGTGATTTCACACTTTTCCTTTCATTATCTCTGTCTCTGTCTGTCTCTCTCTCTGCATGTGCCTTAAGGTAAAAATATGTTAAAAATAGTCTTTGATCAAAAATAAATACTGATTTATATGTTAATTTTAGCTATAAATGCACATTTTGTCTTTATTAAGGATTTCTTTTATCTTTTTTTCTATAGAAAATCAGCATTTGTAGTAGAAGCTTTGTAGCTTCATCCATGTTCAGAGTATGAGAAACCACCATCTTTCCTAACAAGCTCATGTTCTTTATGAAAGGTTCTAAATATAAGATGATTTTCTTTAGCATCTGTCTCAAGACATAAAATTGATTCTTAGAACTGGGTTAATATACTAGTGATTTTAGCTGAAACATATTTTTGCTGAATTATCGAAACTATAGATCAAAAATTTCATTATCTCATATCCAAAAACTGTCTTTAATTGTCTAATTTACCTCCATACATCAACATTTTTCTGGAAAGATGAAACAAATTATGTGTAATAATTTACAATTTCCTTCTTTCTTTTTCTTCTCTTCTTTCTTTTTTTTCTTTCCCTTTCTTTCCATCTTTCTCTTTCTCACTCTCTCTTTCTTCTTTTGTTCTTTTCTTTTTTTCTCTTTCTTTCCCCCCACTTCTTTTTTGGGGTTTTGCCATAGGATATGTGGACTTCCCAGAGAAAGACAGTGAAAAACAGTGAGGAGCAAAGTGAGAAATCATGCCCCTAGGGAGATGACCACCCACAATCTTTCCTCCTTCATTCTCCTGTTAAAATTTTGGGCACACATGCAAAAATCCCCTTTATGATTTTTAGATCCAAGACTTGTACTGTAGATGGTCATGTAGGAGTCCAGAGCTTAGTCATGTCATCTGCTGACTGAAGGATCTTAAAATTTCTTTTCTTTTTCTTTTTTCTCTCTTTTTATTCTTTTTTTAAGGTTTTTGCCATAGGGTGCATGTGCTCACGGTAGAGAGACAGAGAGACAGAGACAGTGAGAGGGAAAGTAAGATCTCAACCCCCAGGGGGAATGTCCAAGCAGCAATTCCTTCTCCTACAGTCTCTTCCCAGGATCTTGGACATGCACACACATGCGACTAGTATGATTTTCAAGTCACTGGATCCAGGACTCAAACTACAGTCTTCCATGTGGGAGTCCAGAGATGTAACCATTATGCATTTTGCTGGGCTTGGTATTTACAATTTCTAACCACCCTTATCACAAGACAAAACAATTAGGCGAAACAAAGTCAATTCTGTAAGAAATTTTTGAACTGTGCAGGTAACTGATAGTAAGGAAAGAAGATGACTTTTTGAAGCTCCCTCTGGCTATTTTCAAAAACAATTTCATTTACTAATTATGGTGAAAAATACAACATTAAGTAATGAATATTGACTAAACCTGCAGCTAATATGAAATCTGTTCCCAAACCCACAACAGATGGTTTAATGTAAATTAAAGCCATCACTCTGACTTGTAAAATTTGTAGCAAATGTGTACATTTGAACATACATTAGTTCTAAACTATTTCAAAGCCATCATTCATCAAGAAAAATACACAGGTATACACACACAAATATATATATATATATATATATAGTCTCTATAAGAGTATTCACATATGATAGTCTTTCTCAAGGCTGTGAGTAGTGTGTTGAGTGGGCAGAAGGATTCCATCAAAGGAACTAAAAAGAGTTAAGAATCAAAGAAGAAGTTTACATGGAGTCATGTATGTAAAATATATGTATTGCTCCCTTGTGGTTCATAAGCACGAGCAGGTTTTCACGTCATTATGCAAGACATGCCTCCCTAAAACCTTGTTATAACATTGGCACTGTACATGTATGATGTGAAAAATAAATAAATAAATCATATACATAAATCAGAAAACTAAAACAAATAAAAAAGGCGAAGTTAAAAAAAAAAGGCGAAGTTTATGTACTGGATCCTTCTATTAATAATATAATAAAATGAAAATAATTTGATGTCATTGATCTTCAGCAGCTTATATGAAAACTTGGAGTCAGAAAACAGTGATTTCCAAATTTCTTAATATGGTATGATCCCAAGATTCAGGCTATTTAACTTTCCTTGATTATCCCACTTGGGCTTGGGAGTGGATTGTAGTCTGGTTAGAGTGCACTCCTGGAGGGGGAAGGATGGCAGCCGGGCCTGCCCAGTCGTACTTCAGATGGCTTCCTCCATGACAGACATACCAGCTAAGCATTTAAAATAGAGCAATATAGGGAAAAGCTAAAAATTAATAACCAAGCATCATATGTGCAAGAACATAGTTTCTCCTCAGGGGTAGATTTAGAATAAACCACAGACCTTCTCAAGATAGTTAGTGATATGTTCCCATGGTTATAGATTTGTCTAAAAACTTGCAAAATTAAATTATTTAATTATGATTAATGAAGATCACTTTCTTTTGCTGCCTTAATTTTTCCTGTTACAGCACCTCTTATTTTGGTTGATTCTTAAGGGGCTGCTGTAATTTCATGGGTTCAAATGAAGGAAGCTGATCTGAAAATTCTCGTATGTGTATAGTAGTATGGGTTTCTTATTTTATGTCTACTTATTATTTTTATTTAATCACTGTACATCTTTATAGCGTATACAGAGTGTGTCCTTGCACAAATTCAGTGCATATCAGTCATGGTAAAGATATTACCATATACATTATCATCAGCAAATAACCTTTTATTTTTGTGTAAATTAAACAAATTGTTTTTCCTTATTGCCCTCCCTCACTCTCCCATTGACTCCCTATGACTCTTCACTTACTTCCTCTAATATCTACCGTTGCCCTCCCTGATATTCTATCTTCCCATCTTCACTTTCTGCTCTAGAGTGCAGACTTTTGATAAATATTGTATGGGAGGCACATAGAATTCTCTCTTTCATAGTCTGGCTTGTCTCACTTAAGATTAAGTCTTTCATATTCACCCACTTTGTATCAAATGTCAGGGTCTCATTTTTTTTTTTAATAGCCTAGTAATACTCCATAGAGTTCACATGCCACATTTTTTCAATCCACTCTACTTTTGGACTTTGGGTTGATTCCATTTTGCATTGCCCTCACTTCCATGGTAATTTTGTGGACTGCTACATTTTACAGTATAGGCTTTCAGGAAAACATCTACTGTCTTTGGTCCTGACCTGCCCAGTGTCAAGCTCGATTTGGGTCCAAAAGTCCTATCATAGTTTGAACAGGGATAGAGAAAGTCTAGACATCGGAAGTGTGTAACAAGTGGAGCAGCCACAAAATATTTTAGAACAATTATTGGAAATACTACAAATTGGAATTGTGAAAAGACTCAGTTTTTATTGACGCTTGTCTCACTTAAAGATTAAGTCTTTCATATTCACCCACTTTGTATCAAATGTCAGGTCTCATTTTTTTTTTTAATAGCCTAGTAATACTCCATAGAGTTCACATGCCACATTTTTTCAATCCACTCTACTTTTGGACTTTGGGTTGATTCCATTTTGCATTGCCCTCACTTCCATGGTAATTTTGTGGACTGCTACATTTTACAGTATAGGCTTTCAGGAAAACATCTACTGTCTTTGGTCCTGACCTGCCCAGTGTCAAGCTCGATTTGGGTCCAAAAGTCCTATCATAGTTTGAACAGGGATAGAGAAAGTCTAGACATCGGAAGTGTGTAACAAGTGGAGCAGCCACAAAATATTTTAGAACAATTATTGGAAATACTACAAATTGGAATTGTGAAAAGACTCAGTTTTTATTGACACTTAAAATAAAAATTTGATTCCTGTTGGAAGTACACATGCTACATACGTGTGTATATATTTGTATATGTATATGTCATGTATAGTCATATACAAACAACATGTTCTATTTTATTTTGGGAACAGAACTGATCAGCATGCCTGTGTTTGTAGGCCACTATCTCGTAGCATCATTGTACAGAACAGGATGCCTATGTATACAGGTGCGTGTTTGACACATCCTACCCTACTAGTCATGTCTTAGTGAATCTGATATATTTTGTCCTGATGAAATCTGGCAGCTCCTGATAGAACAGCAAACAAAATTGCTACCAAGCCAGAAAATTGGAGTGAAGAGTCAAATACTATACAGAGGTACTACACATGTTAATCAATAGATCAATGTAGGATAAGAGCTTTTTATTACAATTAATGCAGCTGAATGTATATATGAGTAATTTAAAAATGTGATTGAATAGCTCTTATGTATGCCCTAATTTCAGATTATTTCATGTATTTTTTCAAAATGTTAATCAAGCCAGTACTCAACATATGTAGTTTAGAATTGTGTCAACCAATTATTAATCAACATATTCTGCTTCATTCGCTTTCTTGATTTTGTTATATTTGTGATGTTTGCTAGGTTCTCCAATTTTAAATATTCAATATCTTACTTAATGTTCAATTTTTAATTTTCTAGAAGCAATTATTACAAATGATAAACATAATATTATAAAAACTTCAGAACTCATGAGATCTAAACCCGTCCTTGCTTATTGTATAGGTCAATATTGACAGGACAGCTTTAATTATGGAAGTCCTCTGGGAAATATCAATTGTTTTAATGGGCTTTCTTATCTCACATACTAGGATTCTTGGTAACTTATATGTAATCATGTTTTCATTTTGTATTTGCTCCTGTTAAAAAAGATTAGATTGGATCCACGCAAGTATTATTTTCCTCCAGTTTCAATGCAGCTGCATTTACTTCATGTTACATATTTAATGATTTAAGATATTTTAAAAATCTATAAGCATTCATCATTAATCAAGCAAGTAAGGTGCCTGTTTCTTTCATATTCATCATAAAGAAATCCCATGGGAGATCTCAACTAACCAAAACATTTTCCTGGCAATATTTAACACACTAAAATTGAGTTGAAACTACCTTTTTAGTGAGGTTGTAAGTCCTAAGCCACTTCATTATGAGACTTTAGATGGTCCTTCTGTTATCTAGCTGGGTTTTCTCCTAGAAAACGCTATTTTGTCCTCCCGTCAAATGATTTTTGTTGACATTCATCTGCATTGCTATTGTATTATATGTTTAATACGTCTACTAATTAGGGTATTCTTAGCTACTTGAAGCAGAAACTCTTTGACTCATAGTGAAAATTACAGAAGAGTGGTGACCTCCAGTCACCAGGCAATCACATCAGGCTTGTTTCTTGAATTAGCTTAAAGCTGCCCTTATTCTATCAACTCTCCTTCCGATTGTTTTCCCTTGAAGTGACAAGGTGCTACCATTAACAACATGTTTATGAATAAAGACAAGTTATAAAATCTTATATCCTGAATAGGAAAGCATGAGAGGATAATGTTCACCGAGTGTTAGAAGGTAACAGATGGTAAGAAAATGGTATTGAATCTCGACTATGTGCAAGTATGGCAGGCAGTTATAGTTTTATCAATCATTTCTGCCAGTCTTCCTTAAACTAATGGGATTTTTCCTCATTTTACAGATTTGGAACCTGAAAGTCAGTGAAATTAAATAACTTGCATATGGAATTGAAAAATGGTAGGATATTTTAAGAGGTCCTCTGACCACAAAGCCTACGGTCTTCTAAGATTCAAATCATGCAGGTGACACAGAAAAAGAAATGCCACATGTTCTCCCTCACATATGGAAAATGAAAAAAAAAAAGATGCCATAGAAGAAGAGAGATGAAGGATGACTACACAGGGGATGGGAAGAAAGAGGGATGGGGAGGGATAGAGAAAAGTTTATTAATAGAAACAGAATTACAGATAGAAAACTATGATATAAAATACAGTAGGGAGAAGGTGGTTAACAAGAACCTGCTATATGTCTCAGACTGGAGATATATATATATATATATATATTATATATGTAGGAGACCAGCAGTTGGTGTAATGGACCCGGTGGCTTGAACTTACGATGGGCCCGTGTGTGTGTGCATGCTCAAGATCCCAAGAGGGGAATGGAGGAGAAGGGATTGCAGCAGGGCCATCTCCCCCTGGGGGGAGCATGATTTCTTGCTTTCTGTCTCTCTGTCTCTGTCTTTCTGCAAGTGCACACACCCCATAGCAAAAACTTCTAAAAATAAAAGTATATTTGTGTGTTATATATATATATATATATATATATGAATATATATTGAATGTTTCCAACACAGAGTAAAGACAATTCTTGAGATGATGGGTATACTAATTACCCTGACTTAATCAATACGTATTGCATTCACATATGGAAAAAAAATCACATTGTACCCCTACTAATATGTACAATTATGATTTATTAATACAAACAAATTTGATATATTTTATCATGCATAGACTTTTAAGTCACATTTGTATATGGATATCTATGCCCATAGTATTTATGCCCCATGAGTTATTGAAATTTTCCAGGAAGATTTGTATCAAATGTCCATTTTTCATCTTCCTGTTAAAGCCCATGCTGTGTGCTAAATTTATTTCTCAAATAAGCTCTAAATACTCTGATACATGTGAAGCCTTCTGTTATATTTAAAAAAACATTAGTTACTATCCATGAAGGGATTCTGAAAAGTGTATAGAAAGTGAAATCAGAGTGCAAGATTTTTTAGGCGCAAAAAAAAAAGGAATAGGCATAGTTATTTTTCACAATTCCTTTCTTTCCATGAACACTTTGAAGACCCTTAATTGCCAATAACTTATTAATGTATGTTTCTTACAATTTCTACAATAAGCATTCATGTAGGACAATTTTTTTTTTTCAGAAGTTTTTGCCATAGGGTGCGTGTGCTCGCCAGACAGAGACAGATAGAAAGCGAGGAATGACCCCTGGGGGGTGGGGGGATGGCCACACCGCAATCCCTTCTCCTCCATTCTCCTC